ATTGGTTTGAAGAGAAAACTGAACCTAAAGAAAGGACTAGAGACCTACAAGACTGCCACCAACTAACAATTTGAGCAACCATGGAAAGGCTACCATAAATGCCCTTCCTGGATAGTGAGATCAACAACTAACTTATCCACCATCATGGAGCCCTCATCTAGTACCTGTTGGAAACAGAAGCAAACACCCATAACTAAACACTGAGACTAACTAGAATCCAGATGCAGAGGGAGAGGACAAGAACAGGTTGCAGAAACACATAGAGACAGCTGACCTGAACAAGGAGGAGCTAATGGGCCCCCAGACTGATAGCTGGTAATCCAGCATGGGACTGACTCAGGTCCCCTGAATATGGGTCTCAGCCAGAAGGACTAAGCAGTCTAAGGGACCTGAGACAGTGTAACCAGGATGTATTCCTGGTGCACAAAAGGACATTGCAGACACATCCCCCATGGAGGGATACTGCCTTAACCTAGAGACTGGAGAGAAGTCCTAGTCCCTACTTCAAATGACTTGACATATTTAGATGACCCCTCCTGGATGGCATCACCCTACATGTGGAGTGGGGGAGATTGGGAAGGGAGGGTGGTCAGGGTGCATGTGAGGGGGGAGAGAGGGTAAGAGGGAAGGGAGGGAGGGGAGGGAGAGGGAACTGGGATCAACATGTAAAATAAAAAAAATTAAAAAAGAAAGAAAGAAAGAAAGAAAGAAAGAAAGAAAGAAAGAGGGCAGGAATTCTGCTGTGGGATTTTGTCTTGTAGAAATGACAGTATGCCTACTTAAAAAAGACATGACACCACCAATGGACATGTTACTCTAGTAGGGAGAAGTCTCTGGGAGCCATACTCCTAGGGAAAGAACAAACTGATGACTGCTGAAAGGAAGATTTAAATTCCCTCAATTAGGTGTTCCTAATTGGTTATTTAATATAAAGTAGCTTGAAAATCATATCCATATAAGCAAGACTTATCAGACTCAGCAAGTTGTATTTATGTATTTATGTGCATATATATATATATATATATATATATATGACATACAAATACATGTGCATGTTTTATACACACACACATGTGCCACAATAATGATATGGAAAGATTATGGAATGGGGAAACCATGCAATTATAATCTAATTTCATATATATTGCACAAAATAGATATAACTGGGATGAGAAGAAAGGTAAATAAACAAATAAATAGCCTTTTAAAAAATGTTTCTACACGTCCCTATACACCTTACATGGTGTACTAGATAGTTTTCTGTCAACTTGACACAAGCTAGAGTTAGAGAGAAGGGAGCCCCATTTGAGAAAATGCTCCATAAGATCTGGCTGAAGGTGAACTTGTTGGGCATTTTCTTAATTAGTGATTGATTGGGGAAGGTTCCAGCCCATTGTGGAGGGTCTATAACTTGGCTTGTGATCATGGAGTCTATAAGAATAAAGGCTAGGCAAGCCGCAAGTAGCAAGTTGGTAAGCAGCACCCTTCCACTGTTCAGGTTCTCACCCTGCTTGAGTTCATGTACTGTCTTTCTTTGATTATGAATGGTGATGTAGAAGCACAAATGGAATAAACCCGTTCATCACCCCCCCCCCAAAAAAAGAAATGTCCAAAGTTCTCACCCATCAGGGAAGTGGAAATCAAAACTACTTTGAGAGTTCATCTTATGTCTGTCAAAGTGGCTGAGATCGATAACACAATTGACAGTTTATACTGGCAAGGGTGTGGAGCAAGGTGAACACTTCTCCACTGCTGAAGTACAAACTTGTACAGACACTATGGAAATCAATATGGCAGTTTCACAGAAAATTGGGAATTGATTTATCTATCTCAAGATTCAGCTATATCACTCTTGGGCATACACCTAAAGGACAGTTGCTCAAGCATATTCACCAAAGCTTTATTCATAATAGCCAGAAAGTGGAAACAACCTAGATGCCCCTCAACTTCAGAATGGATAAAGAAAATGTGGTATGTTTACATAGTGGACTCAGCTGTTAAAAAACAGTGGCATCATGAAATTCACAGGCAAATGGATGTAACTAGAAAAAAAGTCATCCTAAGTGAGGCACCTCAGACTAAGAAAGACAAATATGGTATATATTCACTTATAAGTGGACATTAGCCATTAAGTAAATGATAACCAAACCAACCTAGACCCAGAGAGGTTATGTAAAGAGGAGAGGTCCAGGGAGGACACAGGGATCTATCTGAGAAGGGAAAACAGAATGGATTTTACAAGTGGACTGGGAGTGGTGAGGTGGGTAGATCAGGTGGGGTGGGAAGATGGGATGGAGTGAGACAATGTGAGGAGACACAGCTGGAATTGGGGGCATATTGGGGCAGTATGGAAACCTGATCCAGTGGAAACTTCCTTGAATCTATGAAGGTTGATCTCAATGAAGACTGCAAGTAAGGGAGGCTACTGAAGCTCAACTGGCCATCTCTTGCAGCCAGGCAAGACTTCCAGTGGTGGGTGTCGGTTACATTCAATTGAGTTGTTGACTGAGGGGATCCCATAGAAATCCTCCAAACAACCCAGACTGATGCTTGATGACATAGCACCACTTCCTGTTCACTCTGCTTCCTGAACACAGATGCAATATGACAGGCCAGCCTCTTGTCCTGCCACCATACCTTCCCAGTCTACTACCATGTTTCCCCCCACCCCAATGACGATAGACTATATTCCTCTAGAACTGTTAATCCAAACTCACTTATGTTGTTCCTGTCATGGTGCTTTGTTGTGGCAATGAGAAAGGATCTGGAACACACACTTGGTATGCTTCATGCTCAGGGAACTCATGTAGGAGTGCCTTCAGGATAAATGCTTTCAAGGGTATGAAGGAAGCAAGGGGGGCAGAAGGAGATATTGACCTGTGTTAAAGATGTTATAGAGCCCCACTGCAACATAGCTCGGAAGCTGGCAGACACACTGTAGTTTCCATAAGCAAAACAAGTACCCAGGCCTTTGTGCTTTGCCTGTCACTATCCATTCATTAACTGTTGAGTGTTTTTAGTGGGGAAGCATTAATGTGGGAAGGCAGCATTCTTTAAAAAAAAAAAAAAAAAAAAAAAAGTCTTAGAAAATAGCCGAACTGCAAGCCACATGATTTACTAAAATAAAGGATAGGTCTGATTTTTAGGATTCTTTCAAAGATCTTATTTCAACATTGTGGACCTTGTAAGAAGATAATATTATTCTGTTTTAATAGATGTGGCATCATCTTAGCGTTTTACTGAAAAACATTCATATGGTACCTATTTCATGCCATGACTACTCTGAGAATTATAGACAGAGCAATACACAGGACAACTTATCATGCACACCCTATCTCCCTTTTCTTAGTAAAGGCCACACTGTCATTAGAGTGTGGACACCACTGACAACCAGCAGGCACTTTCGTAGATTGACAAGGGAAGAATAAACTCTCGATAGGTCCTCGGCCTCACTTTTAAAAGACAATTTCATACATGTGTGCAGTATGTTCTGACTACTCTCTCCCCTTACCTCTTTTATCATCCTCCCATTCCTACCAATCCCCTACCCATACCTGTCCTTTTCCCAAATTCATGACTTTGCCTTTGTTCTAAAACACACAGTTTAACCAAGACCATCTGTGTTGGAATGGAACTATTTACTGGAGCCCAGTGAAGTCACCAGCAGATACACAACTGAAGGGCAATGACTCCCCATGTGTCTGAATCTCTCAATAGCAAATACTTCAGCAGCAAGGGTAGGGCCCCTTGAGCTCCTGACTCTCAAAGAACCTATTTTCATATAGACCCAATGCATTCTGCCTCCCCTTTTACCTTTCATCCTTTCAACTTGCCTACTCCCACCCTATTTATCTTTCAAAATGTTTCTTTATGCTCAAACAATATTTCGTTATGCTGATGCTGGGGTATGGGTGGGGAACCAAACCTAACTAATTCTCAAGTGAAGAAGGGAAGTTAAACTCTATAGCCTGGACTTGAAAGCTCTCTGAACTTCAAACTTGCCTCTACATAGCTTTGTTTTACATCCAGCTATGCTCCAGGAGAACAGCTTATATGCACACTGCATCCACCTTGAACTTCAATGTTGCCAAGCCTTGGCTCTTCCTATTTCCTCTGCACAGAATAACCCACCTCCCAGTCTCTTCCAGGATGACTTCTCTAGCACCTGGCTAAGTTCAGAATCCATCCTTGAGATGATTCTAGCCATTCCCTCCCTCTCCCTATTTCAGTCTGTAAATCCCATGCTGCCTGTTCACTCAGGCAGCCATTTGTATTGTCCAGGTGGAATTTTGCTTTGTTTGCCTGTTTCATTTTCTGATGTACATGGATGCTTTTTTCCCCATTAGAATGGCAAGTTTCTAGAGAACAAAGATCATGATGTTTCCATTACATTTTTCAATGACCTAGACCTGTGTATCTTTAGTGACCCCTGAAGGGTCACAGTAAATATATTTTAGTTAACAGAATCCTTGAGTGTCGCATTTTAAAACACACTGGAAAGTGCACAAAAAATATACCACTTCACTTTCTTGCAATTTATGTGAGTGGGTTAAAAATAAAGGTCCAGTTATATTTGAGTTAATCACTGTAGCAACCGTGAAAATAAGTTTACCTCTTGTTCCCTTCCCTCTCCTCGGTGCCCTCTTCTAATTGAGTGTGTTTAGATAGACTGTTTAAAAACTTTGTCCAAACACAGTCCTGGCCTTCCTCTCCAGCAGAAATGCATGTGCATTCCAGCTCCTCTTTGTAAATAATTGCATATGCCTCTGAAGTTCAAGAAGTTCAAGGTTTCTCTTCATGCTGTGAAACTGACTTCTGTTTCCTTTTCATGTGCAGTAGGCTGGAATACAAGGCAGAAGAGATGCTGTGTGGTTTGGGATTTGGTGAGCAGAGAGGATAATAGGAAAGATTGATAAGGCTTCATAAAAGAGTTATTTTTAAGTACAGAGAATGCCTATCCCCCTGCTGAAAGGGCCTTTAGAAAATATTACAGGATAGGAATGCTGTGGCCGCCATTCCCATCACCTGGGATAGCTGCTTTGGTCTGCAGGCTGCTGCTGCCACCTGCTGCAAAACAACAGCCATGGAGGGGCTGCCACTTGGGTCTTGCCCAAGGCATCAGGTACATTCAATCTGTATGCCATGGGTACCTGAAAATTGTCGTCTCTAGGAGTCTAGATAAATCCCAAAGGAAAATTAGTACAATCCTGGACACAGATATTCCTAGGATTTAGAATCATGAACCAGGAGTCCAAAACAAAACAAAATGAAGCAAGCAAACAAGCAAAACTAGCTAGAGGACGTAGATTTGCCCAAAAGCAACTGATAAGTAACTCTATTAAACCACCCCAGTCAGAGGCTGGGATTCTATTAAAAGTGAACCTGTAGCTCTTTTAATCACACGTTTGTTTTAATGGGACAGTCTCGCTCTCTTTTTAAAGCTTCTTCATTTTAATGCAATAAGAGATGTCAAATACTCCAAGTAAGAACTCAGTACATTGGGATTTTTATGACAAATGGAGTAACAGGTGACAAGTTCTTCTCCAAGAATATAATCTGTCCTCATCACATAGGAACACCAACTCTCAGATTAGAGTCTTTATAGCACATCTCTTGACTTGTTTTATTTTTGTTCTATCATTGAATTATCAGAATTCCCAGCTAAGACAAAGAAAGTTACCCTGAGCAGTTACAACACTTCCTGTCCTCCCTTCAAGGGTCTGAGCTCCTAACCTTCCCTGGAAAAATCATCATGGCTCCCTGACTTAACAAACCCACTGGTGTGCTACATAGTTCTTTATGGTTTTGGGCTTGGCCAAATAAAGCTCTTCTTATACCATCATCTAAAAAGACCCCTGGTCATCACAATGAGGGATTTCCCCATCTGGCCTCCAATTATTAAGACAAGGGGTGGAAAAGACACTCCCTTCTCTCTTCACACCCCAGACATGTGGATTTCCTTACAAGAAACTAGACAACGAATTCAGTCGGATAGCTGACATCACTCCCCGTTATTTTTCAGAGTTTATTAAAATCGGACATGTTAATCATTGTTCTTTCACCCTGAGGCAATTTTGGAAAGAAAATATATCTCAAGATTGTACTGAAACGCTATTATGAGAGGCCAAAAAGCTGCTGTTTGCTAAATGACTTTGTATTCTTGAAAGGGGATGTATAAAAAGCACAGGGGGACTGCACTGCACCGTTTCCTTTGTTTGGATTTTAGAAGCAGCTTGACTGACAAAGAGACTAAAGGAGAGAATCTTGGGATATGAAAAAGTCTTTTAGAGGTGAGACACAAGGTTTCAGAGAACATTTTCTGCATTGTTCTTGTGAAGGTTATACTTAGCCCTGAACCACACTACTTTCCTGTCTGCATTTCATTTCCTGGGGAATTGCCAAGCGATCAACACCCCCAACCTGTGGTAATGTTGGGGTTTTTGAGCACGAGTAGGGTGGCTGGAGTTTGCTCAGCTAAAGACATCAATCGACTCCTGTGATCATTACAGAAATGCTGGTGTGAGCTCTTCTTTGGGAGACATAGGGAGAAAATGGACATACTGTGCTGTTTACTCCATCATCCAGATCCAGTTTTTCAGGGGTAAAACTTCTGGTCAATCCTTTCCTCTCAGATGGCTGCTTTAGGAAACTTTGCTCCTTTGAGTTGATCACTAAAGGGCAAACTGTTGCTGAGGTTTTCAGATACGTATGTGACAGCAACAGAAAGATGCTAGAGTTGAGATGGGATTCCTCATGAGCACTAAAATTAAAAGGGGAGTGGATGGTTTGGGCCATTGTTCTGGCCACTCTTCACCATTTTACCTCTTCAAAGAGTCTTGAGTAATTGGAAAATTATGTCTTGGAGAGGAAATGCTCCTGGGACATCATAAAGGCAACTCCAGAAAACTAAAAACACCCTACAATCATATCCATGGTCGGAAAGCCTTACTCAGCTTTTAATCCTGTCTCAAGCATTTCCTGTTTCTTCAAATTAACAAGTTGTTTCTCCTCCGCAGTGCCAATGCCATTAGTTGTTGGATGTATGTGAGGTCTTAGTCACATATAAGAAGTGACTTGGAAAGCAAAGAGGATCCCTGTGGCCTTAAGGCCATCCTTAGACCAGAACCTAAAAGGCCTATTTCAAAATCAAAGGACAAAAGCTTAGTTCCAAATACCACAGTACAAGGTTATTATTGAAAGCCTGAGTGACTTAAGAATTGGTATGGCTATGAAGAATGTAAGAGTTTCTGAATCAAAGACATTGGAATTGGTGATGTAGGTAGGCTCACAGGCACATTATTAAAAGATCCCTCCCAGGGAGTTAGACTCAGATGTGTAGACCTCTGTCTACCCAAAGTTTGTGCATTCACAAATGCATAATAATTCATACCCACAGAGTATCTTTGAGGTCTTGTTTCTTCTCGACAGCTTGTCATCTTTTTATCCTTTCCCTTTGTGAGCTCCAGGGGACTTGTCACAATAATGTATAACTTCTGTAATGGTAAATTCTAAAACAGAGCCCAATGTTTCTGAAGACATATCAAAGGCTCAGGGCTGAACAAATCTTTAGTCGTCTGTACCATGCAGCCAGGTTGCTGATGGGAGAATCTTCTTTTATGTCTGACATATCATGAGCTGGATAAAGATGATGCCCTAGGTTACTATTACCTGAGGCATCTCCTACTTTCTCCTTGGTAGACATAACTACATGGAGATGAAGGTCCCTTCATCCTCTGAGGGTATGTCAAGGCTCTTCCTCTACTTGGCCAGAGTGAATGTAGGAGGCAGTCTGGAGTTATGAAGTTAACACTGAAGGAAAACTACAGATGTGACTAATTGCAAAGAGAATTCGTGTTCTCTTAAGGGGTGGTCTCTAAATGATCTACTTAATTTCTCAGTGCTTTCCTTTCCCTTTTGATAAGGTAGCATAATGTCACTCTTATGACACATGCAGATTAAAATGACCGCATGTATAAGAGCCTCTAGTAAACACATAGTGTTTTAAAAGAAAAATCATTTTATTATGAAGAACTTAGAATTAAAGTGTGGAAAAAAACTACTGTACTTAGACTAGTTATTACAGATGCTGATCCAGAAAGGTCAAATTCATGTGTATTAACACTTTCATAGTAAATTTGCCAGGGCACTTCACTAGGCCTAATTTATGGGGCTGAAGAGGTAGTTCAGCAATGAAGGGCGCTTTCTACTCTTATTGAGGACCTGAGTTTGATTCCTAGTATGAATATCTAGCAGCTGTAACTCCAGTTCCAGAAGGATTTATGGCCATCTATGGGCATTTTTACTCATATTTCCACACAGACACATACTCATACATATAATTAAAAAATAAAAATATAAGCCTTCAAATATGCTCAGTTTTATTCACAGTCAGAGACCTTCAGTTACCTTTTGGGTAGACGAAAAGACAGAAATATGCAGGTCCATAGTTTCCTCTCCTCATCCTAAATCACAAGGGGTTTTCTTTCCTGTAACAGCCAGGAAGAAATTCCAGTTGCTTTCTCATACCAGTGAACTAAACAGGGTTTTTAAAGAGTCATTGTTAGGTTTTGTATGCTGAAAATGATTTTTAAAGCACACTCATGCACATGGGCACACATACCAACACACACACACACACACACACACACACACACACGACCTAAAGGGGCACTCCAGGTAAATTATACAAACTGATTACTTACATCCTTCCTTTCCAGAGGTATGGGAAGAAATATTCAGTGTAGGACAAGCCACATATGCTCCGCCTGATTCTGATGTCAACTTGACCTGCCTAACAAAGGAGAAAGGCTTCCTGGTACAGATGCAATGGTCCAAGGTCACTGATAAAACTGACCCGATTATTATTTATCATCCCCAGTATGGCTTCCACTGTGTCCTAGGGCACACCTGTGAGTCCCAGGTGGCATGCATAGAAACTCAGAAGAATGTAACGCCGATTGGCAATGAATGAAAGGTTGTTTCAATCATGACACACCAATGCCAATACTTGTTTGTATGGCACAATGATGTCTTCTTTTGACCTCTTCATACACCAGGCACACATATGTACATGAAGGAAAAATATTCATATAAATAAAATATAAATAAATATTAAAAGTAAGATGGGGAATTGCAAATGACTGGAGTTAATAGTAGTAGTAATAATAATACAGTGAGGGACTTTTCTTTTTAGAGTGGTCTGATTATAAGAGGGGATCTAAAAGAGTGGGATCCCATGAGATATTGTCAGATGTTAACACAAGTACACCTAGACTCTGGCTTTAGACACAGCTTTGGAACATTGTCCCAACCCCAGTAGATTATGCTATCATATCTCTAAGGGCCCGATCAATACCCCATTGAGAAATAGCAACATGGTTATATCTTCCATTGCTGTGCTAACAAAACTACCACGATCTATCCTCCAGACAACAGGGGATATATTATGGTTCCAATGAAGGCAATAATGGGGAAGACGTATTCAGAAATGAGCAATGTTGTGTTTAAGAAAAGTCTGTTTCTTAAAACAAATGACAATGAGAGATACTTAAGTTTGTAGCTACTGAAAACTGTAAATAGAATTCGAGTCATATTTATGTCTGTGGTTGGAAAATTTCCAATCTTCTTTCTGAACTTTGCTGTTGATCCTCTGAGTCAGATGGAAAACAATGGCCTAGTGATAAAGAAGGGATGTTAGTACTGTATATACATACAGGGTCACAATTTATAAAAAGGCAAACAAGAAAGAAAGAACGTTTTACATAATGGTGACAGACTGGAGCTAAGGACAGAAACACAGGCTTATACTGGAGCGAAGGAGTGAGAGTTTGACCTAGAGCAGATGCCTGCTGTCTAGCAGCATGGCCAAGTCCCCACCCAACCATATGCCCTCTTTCCACCTCATATTCTCCCAATCTTTCCTTGCCTTTTCTCCTGTTTATATCTGGTTCCTTGCTAAGCAAGACATTCATGTTTCCAAGCTGGGTGCGTAAGCAATGCACACACATGCAGTGAAAACACTTAGGAAGAACATAAACAAATTCAAACTGAAGTGATACATGAGTCTAAGTAAGCCAAGGCCAAAGCTCAGAGCTCAGAGGTGGCTGGGTTAATTACCTCTTCCTGTTTCCTCTTTCTTGACATCTGAGACCACCTTCCTGGGTTTTTTACAAAACTGTGAGTGTCTAAGTCCCGGTTTCATGTCCCCTGAAGGCTCAACAAAGAAAGGCGGCTATCTGTTCCCTTTTCATAACATTTTGTCCATGTGTGTCTTAATGCGCATAAACTGTGAATAGGAATGGAAATACAATGAATAATTAATTAGGTATCTGCTTTCATTTCATTTTATTTTGATACATTTCTCCCTAAATTGGAGTCTTTGAATTATTTGAAGAAGGATAGTTCCCTGAGTTAGTCCTTGGTTTATAAGAATCTACATTTCAGAAATTGGAATGCTACTTAAGATTCTGCCTCTTTTAGCCTATGAAAAATTGTTGTTATAGGATGAATTATAAGAGTATGGCATGGTTTAATTTCCCAAATTGCAACCAAAGCCAAGGGATTGTTAATGTCAGAAGCAACAGTGATAGTAGAAGCACTAAGAAGAGACATAGCACAAATAACCATAGTAATAACAGCTGGGTTGATGGTGTAGCTCAGTAACACAGTATCTGCAAGCTCCCGGGAGGCTCTGAGCTCCACCACCAGCAACCTGAAAAAAAAGGAGGAGTGATGATGGCAATGACTAGTAATATTCTGATCTTGAAAATATAATGTTGAACAATTGCATGCACAAGATCAAGCCAACATGGATGGGAGGGCTGTGTGAGCTCCCACTCTTAGCTAAGAAGCTAATGACAGTCAATGGCTTCTAAGCAAGAAAGAACCAGTTTTCGTTAAGATTCTGGGCCTTGGTTAATAGATTATGATTCAATGAATAGCCCACACCTATAAGTATATATGAGCAGTACAAATTGGACTCTGGGTTAGAAAAATTATTTAGAATAGGGCACAAACTTGAGAGAGGAAGGAAGCAGATCTGGTCGATGTGGGGAATGGAAATGTTTAAAACACATTGTATGCACGTATAAAATTTTCAAAGGATTTTTAAATGGTATTTAAATGTTGACAAATCATTAATAAAATATTACTTAAAAATAAAGAAACACATATAAGCTTCGGAACTGTAAAGGAGGAAGGATCATGAATGGTTAGAAACCTATAAGGAGGCACTAAATGTTGAAACATGTACAAACATGGAATCCATGAGATAACTCACTGTAAATTACCACCATTTACCTTTTAAAATATAAAAATTTCAACGAAAAAAGAAAATATAACATTGATAAGCTAAGTCTTACTTATGTGATTAACTCTCTGAAGGCTAATTTGTCATCGAACCTGAATACTGACTGTGCTCAATGTCTTGTAGGCATCCTTTGTCCAGCATATAGTTTTTGAGAGATTATAGTGCTGAGTACCAGGGATACAGTAATGTGGGATGCAGACAAGATGGCCATCAATTCTGATGCTTCTGGGAAGACAAATGTTTATTGGATTGTATTTAGGAGCATGAAAGGTATTGACCACTTAGCAGGAACTTGTGTTGGTGGCATTATGGAACAGAAAGAAAATCAGATAGGAGGAAGAGCAAGAAGTGGGAGGCAGGGGAATGGGGACAATGAGTATTGACATAGCTTCTAGCAACTGATCAATAGCAATAGAAAGAGTGTGAGTGTTTGGATGAAGTTTTGTGTTGGTGTTGTGGTGTCTGTGGTTTTAAATAATGCAGGGGACCTAATTATACTCCAAAGCCAATGGACAGGATATACTTAAGAAGTGTTAACCATATCACACAGTGGGTAAAATAAATCAACTAAGATTTCTGGGAATATAGGGTCACTGAGATCCATAACAGGTAGTCAAACTATTCAGAAGTAGGAGGAAGTTTTATGAAGTTTCTAATAGCATACATCAATTACCCACAAATCTAGGTTTCACTGTGACATTTTATACATACATCTAATTGATTTTGATCTTATTCACCCACATTACCTTCTCTTGTTCCTCCCACTCCTGGTAATGTCCTTCTCTTCCCACCTAATCTCCCGTCTCCCTTCATGTCTTAACAAAACACTTTCAAGTTATAATAGTGAGGAAGGGGAACAAGATGATTGCTTGTGATGAGGGCAATGTTGCCTAATATTTTAGTATTTTTCTATCAGTTAATCTATTCCCCCAAGAAGTCTGAGAAGGTCCAAATAAGATAAACACAGAGATGCCTATAGTACTGGAAGTCAAAAAGAAAAAAATCATAAAGTAGTGATGAAAATAAGTAAAGCATAGAAACAAAAAAAAAAATTCATGGCTTACAGAGGACCGATAGAATAATCAAAAAATCAAAAACACTTCTCATCAGAAAAACCAGGGGTCAGAAGACTTGCCCAAAATAGAAGATTAAGTCTTCTAAGCCTTTCTCCATCTAGTGAAATTGTCCATTTGAGATATAAAACCATATTTGTCTTCTTACATGCTAGGGTTTGAATGCCCATCCTTACATAACATGGAAACTTCACCTCCAAATTCATATGTTGATGGTATGTAAAGGTAGAGCAATGGGACTGGATAAAGTTCCTAGAGTTGTGCTCTCATGCTAGCATCATTCATAAGAAATCTGGGCTGCCCCCTCCAGTGTCCTCCACCCAATGACATGCTTTCTCAGTCAGTGTAGAACGTGTGGACATCTTACCTGGGCCCTCAGGACTCTTGTTTCTAGATGAGCCACACTAACTATCTAGCTGGACACCCACCAGCTTGGTTCATTTATGCTGCTTTACACAATACTACAGGCTGGCCAGTAAATGTGAAAATGAGTTTCTCACCGTTCTGGAGCTGTGAAGGCTAAAATCAAGTCCCCACTGTGTGTCAATGGTCTCTGGGTAGGAGAAAGGAAGCATTGCTGAGTTTTGCAGGTAGCACTATGCTGCTAAACTATTTCTCAATGACCAAGGGGGCAGGTGATGGAGAAATAAGCTATAGGTGAGAGGGCTGAAGGTTCCTAATGTCTTGACTTAGGCAATTGCAGTTTTACAAGGAAAAGATGATTCTTAATTTGATGTTGCCATTAGTCAATGTTCAGCAATATGAAATGATTGTATTTAGCATTCTTGCCCAGTGCCCATTTTAGTTTTGTACTTGTCTTTTTTGTTTTGCTTTGTTTCTTTTTGGTTTTGTTTGGTTTTGTTTTGTTTTGTTTTTGAACCAGTGTTTCTCTTTGTAACAGCCCTTGCTATCATGGAACTCACTTTGTAGACCAGACTGGCCTTGAACTCACAGAGATCCACCTGCCTGTGCCACACTTGCCTATTTGTCCTTTTGTTTTGTTTTGTTTTGTTTTGTTTTTTAAACCTACCTCTTTGTCGCTACAAGCCAGTCTTTTCTTCCTACTTCTCCATTTTCTGGAGCTCTATTGTGCTGTTGTTGTTGTTTAGAACATGTATTTATGAGTATCCTCTTCCTTATAACAAGTATTACTAGAGCCAAATGTGAATGGCCAGGACTCACTGCACGGATGACTGTCTGGTCTGCATGCTCTATGGGAAAATCCCTGGGAAATGCTGATGTAAGCAATGCAACCCTGAGTCTTGATGGGACCTTAACAATACCTTGTGTTTTTTAATATTTAAAGGTTAATATCATTGTATTTAAAATCTTTAGGTCACATGTTCTTTCCTTGGGTATATTAAATATATTCATCAATATTTTCTACCATGAAATTGCTGCCAAAATCCTATTAACAATAATCTCATTTTCTTCCCCCCACTTAACTGATTGTTAAGTACTGTCATAAAATGCTGCTTTATGGTGTCTGATCTAAGTCAGGTTCCTTACTTCAATGAATCTCTAAATATATGTTATAGCTATTTTTTATTTTAAGAAAACTTTCTAACTTGTGATTTTTAGCATTTATGCTATTCCATTCTTCTTTGATTTTTCCCTTCAAAGTCTTTTGTCACACACACACACACACACACACACACACACACACACACTTATTTGACTATCTTATTTTTAATGTTATTTATTTACATATTTCCTTCAATTGACTTTTAAAACTTCTTTCAATACATTAGCTTTTGTGCACATATAGTTTCAGTTTTGTTCTGGCTTCATCTCATTCTTTGAGTGATTTTTGAAAATGATTTTCTGAATTACATCACCTATCTTTTACAAGTCTTCTGTTCTTCAGTGACCTCTTTTATCAGCTGCTCCATTTTTGCACCGTTTATATCATTTTCATTCATTCACCTCATTTTGAACAATGAAGTAGTAGCTTTTATTTATGTATGAATATATCACTACTTTGCTTTCATTATTACATAAATGGTATTTTATTCTTTCGCCTTTTTCTCGCTGTAGCTTTACAGCTCATTCTACTGCACTCATTTTTCTATTGCTTTTCCTTAAGGATGGTTTTATTCTTTCCATGAAATGCTAGCCAGGCTAGCTCCTCTGTAGCCTTCATTGTGTCTACAGCCCCTAATGTGCTATTTTCAAGGTAAACACTAGCTCTGGGACTTATGGGATGTACTTCCTTTCCTTTTGTCTCCCACTTTTATCTGAATTTCCTCTTTGAATTCTCATATCGGATCTCACTTAATTTAGGTTCTTCTCCAAGAGTTTCTTTGCAGCACCACAAACCTTCCTCTGTCCCTGGATGGGGGACTTTTTCCTGTTCCCCAAAAGAAACTGGTGATCTGGGGTCTTTAAAATCCCTTCTCCATCCTGCTGCTCTTCTCAGATTAGACAGCTGTCTCTACAGAGATCACCAACTGTTGCGAGTAGACTTTCCAAAGCCCAGCAGAAGTACAGTTCACTTTCCTGTTTTCTTTCTGCACAGTTGCTACTACTAGTGTGTTGCCCTTTATGGATGGTGATATGCTGTAGTTTAATATACTTGTAGATGCTTTCTAGGTTTTAATTTATTTGTAAATTATATATTTATATTTAAAAAATCTATGCTCAGAATCAGAGCAAACTTCAAAAGTAGAGGTGATGAGATGCTACACACCTGTAACCCTCTTGCTTGAGGCAGGAGAATTGTGATGAATTTTAAGTCAACTTGGGCTATGTAGCAAGTACCAAGACAGTCAGGAACATACAGAAAAATCAAAAAGTTAAATAGTATGTAAACGCTAATAACAATAATTATATATTAACTGTATATTGGATAATGGTCATTAAAATACTATTACATATGCATTCATTTTGTGAGCATCATGGATATTAATAACAAGATTACTATGTTTAAACTATACTTAAGCAAAATAAAATTAAAAAGTGGTATGCATGTGTTAGAATTTTGATGGTATTGTACAAATAACTACATTTGGAATTACTATGGTAGTTAGATTTCTTTAATATTAACGGACAAGAATCTTCTAAAATATATACATGTATGTGTGTGTATACATACATATATATATGTGCATATATATATATATATATATGTAGAGAGAGAGAGTAACATAGACTATCCTCCATTATCTCTAGGTTCCATAACTACAACATCAGATAAGGAAGTTTTAGAAACAAATTGCATGTATACTGAACATGCCCTGCCCCTAAAAACATGCCTTTACATTATATCTGTTCTAAGTTTTCTAGGATATGCTTGAGTCATATGGAACTTGAGTGCCTAAGAATTTTCTCTTGAGACCAAAGAAAGAACAGGTTTCTAGAGCATTAAACAAATGTGTTTAATGTGAGTGTGTGACACTATACACTTGTCAGAACCCATAAGATTTACAATGCGTAAACCTTACAGCAAGCTGTGGGCCCTAAGAGCTAATGATTTGTGAGTGTAGGATAATTTATTATGACAAAGGCACTACTCTTGCGCAAGATACTGACAACAGAGGAAGCTGTGTGTATAAAGGTGAAAACTACGTGTACATAGGAATGGTCAGTATTTTTTGCTCACTTTTGCTGTGAACCTACAGCTTCTATGGAAAAAGAATACGTCCTAATAAATTTTAAAATACAATTACAAAGTAGGTTATAAGACTTCATATTCCTTCTTATGAGGACATATAACCTGAAGATGAATGGACCTAGTTGGGGTTAAAGCAGAAGAGTATATCAAATAGTTTCTCTGTGAGTTTTCAGTGATGAGCAATTCCCCTGGCTTCCCCTGGCTCAGTTTTGCCATTTAAACAATGAGGACTTCGGTGGGGTTCTGCCTCGTTGCTTCATAAGTGTCTTGAAGATAGATGAATTTCTATTCTAAACTGTTTCTGTCTTTTCAATAAAATGTACCTGATATGCCAAGATCCATGCATCTTCCACCTTATGTTTTGTTCCAGTTATACTAGATGAACGCAACCATACAATAGAAACAGAGACGAATCGGACTCTGGAAATACCATGCTTTCAAAATACCTCCTCAGAAATTTCACCTGGGTTCACCTTTGCATGGTTGGTGGTAAGTGTTGCCCTTTTCAGTGAATAACTGTAATGATCTTTAAATATTAATGAGGTGAAATGAATAGCAAGCAATACTAGAGAAATACTTGATGAGACACAGGCATTATGCCAGTGGCTGGGAAAGGACTGGGGAAGGAAGGAAAGGGCACTGAGGTGTCTTCTAACTAGGCAAGCAGTGATGCATGCAGTGGGACTCCAAAATTAACTCCTAAAGGTTGATTTCTGTTTTAAATTATAAACCAGACGGTGATTGTTCAGAACACAAGTGTGAGGCTGCCCTGGGGAGGAGCTACATACAGAAGCCCCCAGTCACAAATATTTGTTTTATAAACAACATATGTAGAGACATAGAGCCTCCTTTTCCGGAACCTGCATTGCCACAATCTTTTATTGCTTTAGTCAAGAAATGCAAAACCTGATGCTTATGAAACACAAAGGAAGAGGCTGGAGAGATGGCTCAGTGCTTAGGAGTGCTTACTGCTCTACCACAGGACACTAAATGGCATACAAGTTATTCAGTGCCCCCATTCTGACAGCCATAGCTGTAGCTGCATGCACACACACATACACATACAGAAACACACTCACACATTCATAGACACACACACATGCGCGCGCACGCAATCAAATATGTCTTCTTTAAAAACACATGTGAATTGTGTATGGGAGACACTGGCCCTGTGGAAACATGTTACTGTTCAGCACTGTTACTGAAGCAGGGGCTGCAGGCCTGTAGTAACCATGACCTTTAGAAACCACTACAAATGGCTGGACTGAGGACTTTTAAAAGTTGCATATATTTATTTAAGGGGGGGGGGCGCGCAGTATGTACCATGACGTGTATGGAGGTCAGTGAATACTTTTCTGGAATCAGTTTTCTTTTTTCACCATGTAGTTCCAGGAACAGAACTCAAGTCACCTTTTTACCATTGTCGTGTTAAATTGATGGTCACTACATTCATGCCATTTGGTTGGTTAATGAGTGCCAGCTCACTAGATGTCAAATACTAGATAAATGCTAGGTCTCCTTTATCTAGTAGTGTTCTTCAAGAAAACTTGGAAGGTGGCATAGATCTTATGATCCCATCAGGACACTCAGAATAAATAGGGGCTGGAGAGAATGCAAATTAGGTTGCAGAGTGATAGGGTGAGTCTTAAACATCAACAGACCCTTGCACCACACTGTAGTATAGACAAATTGAGGGATGCCTTTGAAAGACTCCTTCCTTCAAAGGGAATATTGTGTTGGCAATATGCTGATTAAATTCCTACTGTGCACTCTCTTTTTAAATGTCAAAATCTGTTTGCTTCACTGACTTACACCAGTGCCCCAACTACTGGTGGTTCTAGAATTTACTAAGCCTGATGTGAAAACATCTAAGCTCTTTCAGTCATCATTGCTGTATGTCTGCAGAGGTCACACAGATTCTTACAAACAGGAAACAATGTGGCTTTAAGTAAAAGGCTAAAGAGAAGAGATGATGAAGATTAGCTCAGCAGGGCAGAAACCTGCTGTGCTGAGCCCAGAAACCATGGGAAACTGCAAAGACCTTCTGCCCCAGAGTGTTTCATTAAACCCCTGGAAACAGTTCTACATACAAAAACCATCCAAGTCTCCAGGATGTAAAAGTCATGTTGTGGAGTGTGTGGAATTATAAAATCTAATTAACTCAGTTGTGAATCTCACGAGGAAAGTTATTATTAGGATTCTCAATATCATCATAAAAATATATTTGCTGTGAGTACCTGGTCTCATGTCAGCTGTGTGAAGTGGAACAGATCCCTTGCTTTGGGGGAGTTACACTCAGGGCTGTGCTACACTGAAAACAATAGGCATCAGACACAAACACAGTGTATCTAACAGCCAGTTGTCACAAGATAATCCAGTTACCCAATAAAACACAAAAGGGCAGCTTGTCCGCATCTATGTGAACAGTGGAGTGATAAATAAGAAATTAAGGACTGTGTGTGTTTAGTTAGGATATGGGTTGGTAGATAAACGGAAAATGCTAATTTTGCTATTTAATTCCTAGGACACATACCAGCAACAGGGAAACTCTTCAGCCTTATTCTGGGAGTTTCTAAATCCATTCTAATATTCTGTTTTCATTACAAACTATCATCCTGTGATTTCCCACAGTATACATTTTAATCCAATCCAATAAACAGATGTGAATCTGATTTGAGTATTAGGTTCTATAGGGATACAAAATTATATTAGACATATTTTCTATCATGGCATATATTTATAATAAAATGTAAAAAAAAAAAAAGTAGTACTCAGGGAAAGTAATTTATCAGCTAAATCCAGGAAAGCTTTTTGAAGAGTTATGTTTGAGCCACATAATTAAAGATAGTTAATAGCAAAAGACAGAAAAGACAGGCATATGCTATAACAAGACCCTGATACTCATATGTACAAATTAGTTGTATACACTGGGGAATGTCTTAGGATATTTGTTCACAGTCAGTGAACTAAATAGAGATCCTTCACCACTACTTATGAACTCACAGTGGCTTGTGGTTGCCTGCATAAGACTTGTACAAGCCCAAGGCAGTGATGCTCAGAGTCCTATACCCCTAACAGAAGAGCTTTGAATGGTTGATAGCTTCTGTGGGAATGGAGAATCAGTTTTCTTTAAAGGTGTGGCTCCTGGTAGCTCTTATCTTGATCCAGTGATGGCTCCATACCCACTAATGTATGAACAGCACAAACTGGACTCAATGGATCATTCTAAAAACGGGGGTGGGGTGACACAAAGTTGGGAGGATGTAAGGGGTGAGGGTGGGTTTGAGAGCAGTTATGGAGAGGAGGCGTGGTGAGCATGACCAAAGTACATCACATGAAATTTTCAAAATAATAAAAGTATATTTAAAAATAAAAATCAGAAAGAGGCCTATCTCAATACTTATCATTATACCCATAGATTAGTATGGTTTTCACCTCTCATCAGAGAGACCTTTTTCCACACATACATATACAACTAGCACCAATTATAAGTGACTATGGAGTGTTCAGACATAAATGGGCATCTCTGTCATACCAACTCTCTACAAGCTCTGGGAACCTTAAGGAAGAAGGGCAGAAAGTCTAAAAAAGTCAGAGGTTAAGAAGACTTCTGTGACTACAGGTGTGGAGGGTGTAGGACCTAACCCCACTCCACCCCCAACTTTGTGTGCATCCCTTCGCCTGTGTGTGCAGGCAATATGCTGAGAGAACATGCTGGTGTCTTTGTTACCTTCTTTTTACACAGAGCACAATTGATCAGGACTTTGGAGAATATTTAATGTTCACACACCACAAATAAAGAAGTCAGTATGAGTTACCTGTGACCCCCCCCCCACACACACACCTGAATCCCTAATGTTTAGTCTTCAATATTCTTTCTTGAAAAAGATGGTGATTACATTTTGAGCCTATAAAATTTTTACAAAATTGATCTTATCAGAAACTTTTTCCTATCCTAGGAGCTAATAGGGAACAAGCTACAAGGCAGTAAGATAATTTAAAATTAGCTTCTATGCTGGGAATGCCTGAAAATGTTTGAGAATACAGTTATATTTAAAATAAATGATACAAAGTCTTTTTAAAATTTTTGATTTTAAGGTCTTAATTAAATTTTTTTTTCCAAAAAAACCCCAAATAAATAAAAAAGAAGATGACTTCTGTGAAATATTGTCCTCTGGATATGACAGGAAAGGGCCATTGCACCATGAACTTACAATAGCTACACATGCTTGTAAAAGACTTCTGCATGACCAATCCAGTTAATATTCCATGGACGGGAAAGAGGTCATGAGACCCCACCCCTAGCTGAAGAGCTATTGGCAACTGATGACTATTGGGAAAGGGAGAATGGGTTTTCTTCTGGGATGTGGCCTGGCAACATAGGTTGCCCATGTTCTTGAGGATGGCCCTAAACCCATATAGATATATGCAGCACTAGACTTAATGAGTGATGAAAAATAAGAAGTTGTTACTTAGATAAACCCTGTCTGGAAAAGACAAAATTAAAAAAATAAATAGGAAAGAAGGAAGGAAGAGGAGGAGGGAAAAGAAGAGTTGGGGGGGGGATAGGATGAGGGAAGAAGAGAAGGATCAAAATACACAGTATACATATATAAATTCTCAAAGAATAAATAAAATGTTAAAAGATCTTCAGGTTTTTTTCTCTTTTAAATCATGATGTGGGGAACAAAAGACAACATTCAAATCATTCAATATTCATGGAAATGTCACATAACAGCATACTAGATGCCTACATTGTTTAACATTTCCATCATATTTTCATTTGTGCTGTTTTATAATCGGGCAAGAAGAGATGGTTTTGAACGTACATATGAAACCTTGAGATTTAAAGACAGTATCACAACCTCTTGGTGATAGCTGACCATCATGGTCTTGGTTGTTATCAAAATTCAAGGTACCTGCCAAACTGTAAAGGGTTAACAACTAATGATGGTTAGAAATATGCTGGTCCAGTGCTGCTGAAAATGAGTGTGAGGAGTGTGGCAAGTAGCCTGCTTGACAGTGTTGGCAGGGTGAAGAATACGTGGAGAAAATGTGAAGATGTAAAGCAGATTGGAGACAGAGAAGCAGGGATCAATATAGTCAGCAACCAAGGGCTGTAAAAGAGCTCAGAGCACCCAACACCTGCTGTGTGCTCTGCTCAAAGCAGCCAGTGCTAACTTAGAGCTGGGTCCAGGCAACTGAAGCCAGCCAGAGACAAGACAGAACCATTAAATCAAATAGAGCCAATGTCCCTCTGAAAAACTGGAAATCCTGATCCCAATATAAATAAATAAATAAATAAATAAATAAATAAATAAATAAATAAAAAACAGAGAAGGTTCAATGAATGGATTTTTAGCATGAGCTGAGCTGGGAAAAAGCATATGGCAACAATTTTTCATGATTAAATATGACCTATCCAGTTCCTACCACACTAATTCTGTTATCAAATCATTATACATAATTTAATGACAAATTCCTATGCC